CTTCTTTGCAGGGTTAGAGATGGAATCCAGAGTTGAACACAAGCAAGGCAAGTGCTCTCCCACTGAGTTGCACGCAGCTCTTCAAGTTATGTGTATTAATTTTGTGATACCCTCCTAAGTAGTTAGGATGTAATTTTATTTTAGTAATGGTAAAATTCACATAATACAAAATTAACTATTCAAAAACAAGCAACCCATCTGCTGCATTCAGAGATGTACAACCATCATGCTCTCTAATTCCTTTCTTTTTTTTCCCCCGAGGCAAGGTTTCTCTGTGTAACCTGGGCTGTCCTGGAACTCACTCTGTAGACCAGACTCAGAGATCCACCTGCCTCTGCCTCCCGAGTGCTGGGATTAAAGGTGTGCACCACCACTGCCTGGCTATGCTAATTCTAAAACACAGTTATAGATCTGAAGGAAATCTCACTCCTGTTAAGAAATGACTCTTCACTCCTGTCACCCTCTAGCCCCTTGCAGGACTGACATCCTGCTCCTATGAAACCATCTACTCTGAACATGTTATCTGAATGGGTCAAATTGTGCTTTTTTTTTTTTTTTTTTGTACGTGACTCCTCTTACTTATCTCATTTCTTTGAGGGTCACCTGTATGGCATACATCAGAACTTTACTCTTTAAACTTTTTAAATTAATTAATTAGTGTGTGTGTGTGTGTGTGTGTGTGTGTGTGTGTGTGTGTGTGTGTATGTGTGTACGTCTTTGTACCATGGCACTGGCGTGCTGGTCACAGGACTACTTTTGGGAGTTGGTTCTTTCCTTTCATTTTGCTTTTGAGGCAGGGCCTCTCTTGTTTCTGTGCCATGTACTCTAGCCTAACTAATCCAGGAGCCTCTGTGAGAATGTCCTGTCTGCCACTTACTGACTGGAAATGCAGGCCACATCTGGGCTTTTCTGTGAGTTCTGAGGTCTAACTCAAGTTATGAGGCATTACCTACTGAGCTTTCTTCCCAGCCCCAGCATTTACCTCTGTTTGTGGCTGTAACTATTTCACAGTGTGGAGATGCCACAGCTGGTTTATCCACCCAAGCATTATTGAGTATGGGGGTCATTTCTACTCTTTGTTGCTATGGATAATACTGCTGTGAACATTATACTCATATTTTAGTTTGAATACTTGTTTTTAATTCTTTGGGGGAGGTTTACCTAAAAAAATAGAATTGCAGGGTTGCCTGGTAATTTGAGGTTTAATTTTGTAGGAAGTGCCAGGTTCTTTTCCCATATTTTAAAAAATGTTTTGTTCTATCTAATGAATGAGACTATCAGATACTGCTTTTGGTCTGGGAACACTAGACAAAGATGACCAGGATAGGGTACTCAGGCAAAGTGAGTCTGACCTGGGGAGTACATGCAGTAGCTCTTGGGCACCATGGGGTCCCCAGGCAGGGCTCCCTTGAAGATCTAGTTAAATGCAAAGGCCTCAGGGTGCTCCAGGGAGGCTCTAATCCCACAACTCCCACTGGCTCCAAGAAGGCAAGTCAGTCTAGTTGGAGGGGTTCCTGGATGCTCTATTTTGTTTTTGTTTTGGAGGACTGTCTCACATAGCTTAGGTTGGCCTCAAGTTTGTTATGTAGCTGAGGATGGACTTCTGATCCTCCAATGTGCTGGGATTGGTTTATGCAGATCTGGAGCTCCATCCTGGAATTTTATACACGTGTTAGTACTCTACCTGCTGAGCTTCACCCCTAGACCTGGGATGAGGACTTTAAGGATAGAGTCTCAGAGGCATGGGTGTGGAGGAGGCTGAGAAGTGGGACATTGCCAACATGCTTCACATCACCCCCCTGCACGAGACTGCAAGCTCCTGGGACAGTCAGGCTATCTTCCTGGAGTTAAGGCTCTGGGGCAGGGAATGAATGAAAGTTCTGCAGAAGACCGTGGGAAAGACAGATGGGAGTGGTGGTGATCTGGGGCCAAAGAGGGTGGAGTCTCCAAGAGGGGAGTGTTTGTGTAAATAGAAAGTATTTGCTTGACAAAGAAGTGGGGAGTCTAAGAGGGTAGTCTCAGTCCTTTGCCCCAGGGAGGGGGCTGTTGGACTCCTACTCAGGCCTCTCCCAAGCCAGGTCTTTAGAATTAAGGCAGGCAGAAACCCTGCCAAAAGCAGGCTGGATTCTTTTAGAAATACCGCTCAAAGCAACCTAGAAGTCTCAAGGACAACCACACAAGTTGTGGCAGGAAGGAAGCTGGGGGGTGGGGGTGGGGTGGCTTCAGGATGCTTCTTTAGTTCCACACACTCCTGGGCATTCAAGATTAACTGCATCCCAGGGCTGTGGTTGCTCTAGGGAGCCTGAAGTTCACAAAGTTGAAAATAGCTGCTTAAAGCCCCTGGCACAGATACACACCAGCAGCAGGAAATGAGTGCCATTCTTTTGCTGTCATCTGGTTGTGCTGGTGTTCAAATTACCATCTCAGGGCTGATGCAGGACTATCCTAAAGCAGGTGCTATTCTCCAACATCTGAGTGTCTGAGGGTTGTGCTCATCCCCTTGCAGTAACAGTCTTGGGACCCTGTCTCAGGTAGGACACCCACAAGCCCAGAGTCCTTTGCTCTAGTCCTCTGGACCTGGAAAGCTTAACTGTGTCCTTCCAGGAAAGATGCCAAAGGCAACTCCCCTGTCCTCTTCAGGGTCTTCTGCCTGCCTCAATAAATGATCCAGATGAAGAGTTCACTTCAAGACAGGTCACCCACTTTGGCAGTTAAAAAGTAGGATAAGCATTGGGAGGGTGGGGGAACTTCAAAATGTGGGCAGCACCCTCACCTCAGGTTCCTACTTTGTGAGCAACCTCATCTCTGAACATCATGCTTCCTAAAAACCTCAAGGCATGCACTATGACAGTGCTTTGCAGTCAGGATCGGAGCTGACCGATTTCCTCACGAGATCACACAGGTCCTTTCTCAGATTCATTAATGTTTCAGGAATCCTCAACACAGCAGCCTCCCAGTTCTGGGGCACAGAACTTGCATTATTGTCCACTTAGTATTTTTCTTCTAATCTGTGCATTTGTCTTTTGACCCACAGTGTATTTAACTTGCAACTTTACCTTCCCACTTGGAGATGTCAACTTCATCTGCTAATGAGTGCTCCTCCAGCAGGGTCCAAGTCCTGCCTTCCAGAGACAGCCCCCTTTTACAGGTTAGCAGACTGTCAGAAGGGAGAACTAAACCTAGTGACACGTCTGGAAGAGGGAGACTCCAAGCCAGTTCCATGCTGTGATCTGGGTCCTGATGGGGCTGGCTGCTTTGGTCTCCCTGGGCTGCAGTTTCCATATGGAGCCTGCAGTAGACACTCCATAAATATTTGTTGAGTGAAGCACACAGATGATTAAATAAATGAAATTGGAGTGTTTTATTACTTGACTGCTATGGGTTGTTAGTCACCCCCTCCTGGTGTTGAGCAGGCAGGGTGAGACTAGAAGCTTGGGGAGAAAGGCACCCCGGGGTTGTACCCCGGAAATGGGTGCCATGACTCACTTTCTAGTCAATTCTTTTTTTTCTCACCAAAATAATGACTATGTTTACTTTCAAGTTATTTTTATGCATTGAAAAACCCCAATTATTCTTAATGTGTTAGCTTAAACATAGTTATATTTGCTACAGATGAGTTTAAAATAGAGATTTGCTGCCTTGGACTCAGAAATTTGTTGAAAAGGAAGGCTGTGTCAATAGCTCACAGGAGACCCACCCTCACCCCCAAGCAATCATGTGGTGCTGGGACTGTGGGCTCTTCCACTGGGAGGCCAGCTGGGAGGTGGGTGGGGCTCAGGGAGAAGTCACCAAGTGTGACTTGGGGCAGCCTCCCTCTCAGGAGAGAGGTTCTCCAGCATTCATGTCCTCACAACTCCCCCTCTTCTCCTCCCATGAGACCCATTATTCATCTGCTTTGGTGAGGAATAGCTCTCTCACACACAGCAAAGCACGGGCATGAGTGTTGCTGAAGGTGGAGAAGCCCCGGGCACTTCCACCTCTGACCCAGCTGTTTTCTCAAAGTTGAGAGTTTTCCTGAAGGTGAACACATTCATCATCCTTCCTTTCCCAACCTCTGTTTACCTTTAAAAGGTCACTATTTTCCATAATGAAGGGACTTTCTGTATTTGAAATGGAGAATTATTATGTACATTTGTTTGTTTGTTTGTTTTTAAAACAAGGTCTCACCCTTAACCAAGGTTGATCCTCCTTCCTCAGCCTCCCTAGTACTGTGATTACTAAGCTAAGGGACAGGGATGACTGAATTTTAAAGAACCAGTTACCTCCTAAGAGGAGTTCTGTGAAAAAGCAAGACTCAAGGGGAGTGGCAAACCAATTCCAAAGACTGGGTACTATATAACTCTTTAATATAAACAAATTTTAGAAGAGGAAAGAAGAAGGCGGAGGAGGAATAGGAAGAAGAGGAAGGGGAGGAGAGGAATAATAATAAGAGGAGGAGGAGGAGGAAGAGAGAGAGAGAGAGCGAGAGAGAGAGAGAGAGAGAGAGAGAGAGAGAGAGAGAGAGAGAGAGAGAGAGAGAGAGAGAGAGAGAAAACAAAGAAAGAAAAAGACAGATTAGAGATCTCCAGGACCTAAGAGTGCAGTTACAAAAAGTCCCCAGAAGGGCACAGAATGTCCTGTTGAGGAGTCGGGTACACGAACCGACCCAGACGATTACAGTGTGTAGGGCTCAGCGTCCGCAAACGAAGACACACATAACCGGGGAAACCTGAGCAAGCTCCGCGATCGGATCTAAGTCCCCGTCCCAGTTAGAGACTATCCTTTTTTTCTTTGCCGTCCGTGTTTTGCAGAGTGGTGGCACTGTGAGTAGCGAACTGTGCACGTACTGTACTACACCTTCCGTGAGAAGCCGGCCAACCGCGGCGCGCGCCCTAGGGAGCGCAGGGATTCCATGCATCCCTAGGGTGTCGGCAGCTCCCGGTGCTGGACACTCACCCACAGCCGATTCTGGGAGGGTGTAGGGGGTGGGCCCAGGCTCGGCGGGGCGGGACGGGGTGAGCGTCGGAAGTGACGTCAACGGGCGGGGCGCTCACCTGAGCACCTGGGCGGTCGCGGTTGAGCCAGGCAGCGGCGATACGCACGCGATGGAGGGCGAAGGCCGGGGCCGGTGGGCGCTGGGGCTGCTGCGCACCTTCGACGCGGGCGAGTTCGCAGGCTGGGAGAAGGTGGGCTCAGGCGGCTTCGGTCAGGTATACAAGGTGCGCCACGTGCACTGGAAGACCTGGCTTGCGATCAAGTGCTCGCCCAGCCTGCACGTCGACGACAGGTCAGTGGCCGGGTGGGGCCGGGCTGGATGGGGGCTCCGCGCTACGTGAGGAGCCGGGAAACAGAATTCACGGCTCTCAGGCCATCGGCCCCTCGCAGCTCCGGAGTATCTAGGATCCGGAGCTGACCCGGCGCGGTGGCCCTGAGCCCTGCGAGACGCGTCGGGCTCGCCCGGGACCCACCTAGGTGCTGCGGTCCGCGCCCGGCTTAGAGAAATTGCCGTGTGGGCCTCTGCGCTTTGTGAATGAGTTAGATTTGGTTCCGCTTACTAATTTTCGTCGGAGCACAAATTGGTGTAAGACCGTAATTATTTCGATCCGAAGCACCGGCTGGATTCGGGTGAGGCATCCGCTGCGTTCAGCCGCTTCTAGGGCTCCGGGTCCCTCTTGCGTCTGGGATCTGGTTCCTCCCACCGCTTTTCTCCTCACACCTTCGTTTTAGGGGACTTGAGGTGGAAGCCGAGACTCCAGGGAACATCTTGCTTTGACCCTGGGCAAGTGCCCACCCGCCCCCCGCCGGCACCCTGGGCCTTTGTCCCTCTTAGCGGATTGTTCAGCGATAGGAAAGGACTCAGAGCTGACCCCAGTGAACCAGAAGGCTATTGTGGTCTGTGCGTAGAAGTAGATTCTTCAAAAGCATTTCCCCCAGATTGCACTGTTTACGTTGGGTGGTGATAGTTTATGTATGAGGCTCAGAATGGCACATTTAAATGACTTATTCTTTAACCAAGCTGACATGGACGTAGTGTTTGCATTTTACCAGTTTGAGATCCCTCTTAAACCCCATTGAGCCATGGCTGTCTGCAGGACCAGCCTTAAACCACAGGAACTCTGAACTCCAGCTTTACTGTGGAATGGTGTCCATGGCAGTGCCTGAGTGACAATAAGGATGGTTTGAGGATGAGACCCAAGTCTATTCCCTTTACACCTCATCCCTACTCTGGACTCTATCAGAGAGCTGTTGGGCGTTTTGTTGCTTGCTTGCTTTTTTGCTATAATCCAGTTTTTCTTAGAAACTGTGGTACAGTGAAGACTAGTGTCTAAAATCACTACCAGCTCACCAGCTTTACCATGTTGTGTAAAACCCTCCCCCAACACAATCCTGGGAACCCTTCAGGCCAGGAGGGGCACTGTGGTTATTTTGATGAAATCCAAACCATTTTGAATAGCAGCCAACAATTTCTCAAAGGTAAAAAAAAAAAAAAAAGAACTCTTCTGGGATGTTTTTTTTTAATGCCCTTAGAGACTTAGTGGGACTGTGTTTTCTAGGCAGAGTGAATATTATTCACCATCAAAGACTTGACACAGATTTTGAATATTGGAGGGAAACATGAGCCACCCCAGCTAACAGTGTGCTATGCAGTCCTCCAATCCTCAGGTCTTGTCTTTCGGGTGGCCAGGTTGCAGGCAGGGTTTTTCCACTTGCAGAGAGCCTGTGTTGAAGTGTGTGTTCTTTAACTGCAAAGCTTTTCTTCCCTGCCTAAAGCAGGCAGGTGGTGGCTTGTCAGAAGCCAGGTAGAGGTCAGCAGCACCCAGCAGGAAGTACTTGGCCACCAGGTCAGGGTGACTGCCTTTACACCTTTGTATGTGGAGTTGACTTCTCCTGCCCAGGCCACATTTAGGTGTTTAAACTGCGATGTTAGGAACTCAGTTCTCTGGCTGGGAAGTGCTCAGGAATTCATTTGGTTCTTCTGTACCAGAGCGGCCTGTTGCTCTGTGGGCTAGCCATCTGAAGCTTGAAACAGCTGTTGAGGGAGGCTAACTTTTCTTGGGCGGTTGTGGTGTATGTCCTGCCTTTGTGAGCAGCCCCCAGCCAGAGGACACAGGGTCTTATTTGCAGGATCTTACTTAACCTTAGAGATAAAAGGATTTAAACATGGACTTGGAGGATAATTTTATTGAGGTTTGAAAGAAGAAAACAACAGGACCAACAAGCAGTCAGTCTTGGCAGCTGTGACAAAGAGACAAATGAGAAAAAGAGAAAGTCCTGCTTTCCGAGTTAAGAGGTTAAGCAGACAGGCTCCACAGTGGACCTAGGAAGCTACACGGGGAAGGAGTGAGAGGGGAGGGGCTTCAGACAGAGAGTGGGAAGGTGCCCAGAGTATCAGGGAGCAGGTAAAAAGAAAGGGAACACTGTGGAAAGTACACAGGCTTAGCAGTGAGGACCTATAAGCAGCTGCCCCAAAGGAGGGGCTTCCCAGGCATCACACATCTCCTTAAGAGGGTAGTTATTTCCCATATCTCATTAACATGCTTTTAGGTGTATCGTGTTTCTTAAAGTTAAAACTTTTTGAGGGGTTTTTTTCTGTCCAGATGCTTGACAGGCCCCTTTGGATTAATTCTGAAGGGAAGGACAATAGTTTGTCTTTGCAATCTTGCATTCTTTTGGTCATTTAGCATGCATCTACCGACAGGTAGAACTCAGATAGTTTTTTTGTTTGTTTGTTTGTTTACCAGAATAGATTAAAAAGAATTAAAGAAACTGGCTGTGGTGGTGCACGTCTTTAATCCCAGCACTCAGGAGGATCTCTGTAAGTTCAAGGCCAGCCTGGTCTATGTACTGAGTTCCAGGACTATGCAGACCAGTGGTTCTCAATCTTCTTAATGCTGTGATCCTTTAATACAGTTCCTCTTGGTGACCTCTACTCATAAAATTATTTCGTTGCTACTTCATAACTGCAATTTTGCTACTGTTATGAATTGTAATGTAACTATCTGATATGCAACCCCAAAGGGGTCTCAACCCACAGGTTGACAAACACTGATGCAGAGAGACCATGTTTTAAAAAAAAAGTTAAAGGAAAAAATGTAAGCCAGCCATAGCGGCCAGGAGGAAACAGTTTTCCCTCTATGGACCTCAACAAAGCCCTGCTAACTTTACCTCTAAGGAGTGGCCATTGTGATATTTCCCCAGGAGTACTGGAGGTGGTGTCCAAAGTTGATTGTGAGGGCATCAATACTGACCATCCATACTGACCTCCAAGCCAGCTAACATCTACCTCTGCTACATAGTATGTAGCTGGGGTCATTTATGGCCTTTACTTGCTGCTTGGGGGTGGGGAAGGGGTCACTTTAGTCACAGCTGTGGGCCAGTCCCATTTTCACCAGCCAAGGGCTGTTCATACTCCAGGATGGCTGGGTGTCTCTTGGCCTCAGCAGCTGCCCAGGCCCCAGCCTTTACCCATTCTGTGGTTTGTGACCCTCCATTTCTGTTCTGGGAAGGTAGGGCCTTAATGAGGTCTGGGACACTCATAAGGCCTCTTGTGAAATTTCTGCCAAAGCAGGGACACTTAGCAGACCTCAGCACAATTCACAAGTGACCTCCCCACTGATCAGATTTCTCCTCTTGGGAGGGTCTCATTGGTTGGCTTTTGGGGAGAGGGCTGTCTTCCCTAGCTGGCTATGACTTGTGAGGTCACAAGTACAGGGGGACAGGCCTGGTACCCTTAGAACAAAATGACCCAGGGGCCCCATGCCTCTTCCTGATTGTTGCTGAGAGGAGCTTAGAATAACAAAGTCCCTGGCACAAGGGCCCAAGAGCTGCTAATGCAGAGTTGGGCCTCAGCTAGTCAGGGCGAGCCCGAGCAAACCCCAGGTCTGTAACTACAGAGCTGACAATTGAACAAGCCTGATTCTTGTCAGTTTTAAAAATAGCAGTGTGGGAACCCCTCTGAGGCTCCTGGGAATGTAATTGGAGTGGTGTGCAGGAACCTAGTGGAGAGGCTGAAATTCTCTTCTCCCAGCAATGCTTCCCAGGTTCCCTGGCAGCTGTTAAGGAGTCTCCCTCTACTCCTCTGTTCTCCGAAGGCATCAGCCTCACTCATGGCTGGTCTTGGGTTCTCTTTCCCTTTTTCAATAATGGAGCCCTCCAATTCTTACCATCCCAGGGTCTTTGGACTTTCTTGCTAAGCTTGGAGGCAGAGGTATGGCTCTCATAGACCTTCCAGAAATGATGTCAGCTATCACTGACATGCTTCTGTACTCCATTTCCCTCACTTGGTGGAGACTACACTATGCTAGGTGTAAATGGGATGTGTGTAAATTATTGTAAATGCTTTTGAAAAGTTTCTTAGGCTGTAATCTCAGTAATCAGGAAGCTGAGATAGGAAGATGCCATGAGTTCAGAGTCAGCCTGGGCAAAAAATAAAAAGAAACTTGGAGGGAAGCTGGGCCTACAGCTTCCTGGTTAAGTACTTACTTGGCATATGTGAGTTCTGGTTCTGGGTTCAGTAGCCAGCACTACCAAATTTAGAAATTGTAACTCTAACTTGGTCCTGTTTGTGCCCAGTTTTTTTAAATGGAACCCCAAAACAGAGATGAGAGCGAGGCAGAGGTGTCTTTTCCTTCTCAGAGGCTGAATTAGCACCCCTCTCCTAGGGACAAAGGAGATGAGAATGTAACTCCAGCCTTCCTGCACTGTGCAGAAGCAAAGATCAGGTTGTGTTTTAATGAACCTGACGTCAGTGGGTTCCTTGGCCCAGAAGCATTTTGTTCACTGTGAGCAGAAAGAACAGAATGGCAACCAGGAGCATGCCCTGGGCTTGCCACCTGATCCTTGCCCCACCCAGGCATCCAGGCTAGGAACAAGCTGGAAAATCCCTCCAGGTTTTAAAACAATAGTAATAATTACAAATGTACAGTTCCTTCTGTGTTGTTATCAGCACTAATCAGAACACTGCTTATGAGAAAGTGTTTTTTTTTGGTTTTTCGAGACAGGGTTTCTACATGTAGTTTTGGTGCCTGTCCTGGAGCTTGCTCTGTAGACCAGGCTGGCCCCGAACTCACAGAGATCCACCTGGCTCTGCCTCCTGCATGCTGGGATTAAAGGCATGCACCATTGCTGCCTGGCAAAATATGTATTTTAAATGATAAGAACCAATGACTAAAATGATGAATTCTATGTATACTAGAGTCCTTTGGTCTCTCCCAGGTTAGGAGCTGGCCCAGTTTAGGCTTATGGAGTGGCAGGTGCTCCTGATAACACCTAAAGGCTGGAGCTTCCAGCCCTAAGTGGTGGCTCCAGGTGGCATGTCCCTGGAGCATCAGGATGATGATATGGGTGTTTAAGTTCAGAAGATATTAGATAATAAATTCTTTGAAAAGTTTTTCTGGATGTCCCAGGACTCTGCCTCAGTGCTAGTCTCTGGTTTTTGTCCCAGGAAACAGTGGCCATTTTCCAATGAAGTGCCCTAAAGCATGTAGCCCAGGCAAGGGGGTGATGTCATGGGCTCCTTCCAGCCTGCTGTACAGAGTAAGTGTGTAAATGCAGCAGGGGTCAGCTTTCTCTAGCCACCCTATAGCCCTCGCTCATTTTAAATGAGGTTTGTGTTCTGGAAAGAGCCTGGGCAGAGAGGGGGAACTTGTTGAATTTTGAGTGGTGGGGAGGGTAGAACTAGCTATTTTTGTGCCAGTCAGGCTGCTGGAAGTTGATTCTAAGAGTTACCAGCAGAAGTTGCTGTGTGTATTTAATCCTTTGGGCAATTAAAGACATTGGTTAGGTTGGCTGAGTAAGGCTGTCCAGTGGAGGGAAAATGGCCCATGCTGCAGCCAGCCTGCAGACATGAATACTGCCAGCTCCTGAGACTGGGGATAGACATGTGTACCTTTTCAGTTCACTTGGTGGTGGGTCCCTACACTCTGAAGTGCCGCCACCTGGGCAGGAAGGATATGCACACTGGAAGGTGCAAGCTGGCCACTTTATAGAAGAAAATGAAAGTAGTGGGGTGGTGGGGAGGGTTGCAATTATAACTTTCATTTTTTTTCCCTCAAGACAGGATTTCTCTGTGTGTAGCGCTGGCTGGCTTAGAACTTCTTATGTAGACCAGGCTGGCTTCGGACTCACAGAGATCCGCCTGGCTCTGCCTCCCTAGTGCTGGGATTAAAGGTGTGCACCACCACTGCTTGGTTTATAACTTTCATTCTTAGCACAAAAGAGAGCAGAAGCAGCAGCTGATAGCAGGTCTCAGTTGCTGTGTATGGGGCTGACCAGCCCGGTCCTTAGCTCCTGTCTTCCCAGGAAATGTTGTCTTCTCCTTCAAGTACCAGCTTGATTTTGATAATGCTTGACCTGGGCATCTAGCTGTTCACTGGCCTGTTTTTCAGATTCTTGTGGAGTACAGAACAGGGCTGGGAGTTTCCCAGCCTGTTCTAAACTGTTAGTGTCCAAGGCAAGATGACCCCCTGGTGCTCAAGGGTTTGCCTCCTGTTGGGGTCAGACTCTCGGTGTCTTCCAACAAAGAAGGGAGCAGTGGACAAGATCCTAGTGTGAGGGCAGTTTGTCCTCCCAGTCCAGGGGTCTCATGGGCTGGCCCTGCACTTGTGTCTCCAGAAGGCTGGGACAGCACGCCATGCTAGACTCTGTTCTGAAGCCTTTTAGTCTTTCATTTCAGATGCTTCATTTAAGCCAGAGGTTTGTTGCCTGTCAACCCCAGCATAAGCTCAAAGTGTGTGTTTATGAGGACTAAGCTCTAGCTGTAGGATTGACATTGGTTGGCAAAGGATTGAACTCTTCAGCCCTTAGAACTTGTGGAAATTTCCCCTGCCAGAGCATGATGCTCAGGAGAGCTGCTTTTTTGCTGTGGTTTTTGGTGCCCACGTGGCTCTGCCTGCTTTCCTTTGTCCTTCCAGCGTGGGGCCAGAGAAGCCTGGGCCCCCTACAATTTCAAAGGGGAGGCCACGTTAGGAAGTGGTTTGTTAGCACCCTTCTGGGTCCTCCAGCAGGCTCCTGCTTCGACCCAAGAGAGCCGCTTTGGGAGAATAATGAAAACCCAGTTATCTCAGGTTACAGGTAGGTCTTTGCGCTAGACTGCCTTCTGGGGAGGTACCAGGGCACCTCAGCCTGCCAGGCCTGTGTGTGGACACCCAGGCTGCCCAGTTCTCAGCTCTAGCATGTCTCTCTGAAAGTGGTTCTGGAAGTTTCCTTTAAGGAGCTCTTTATTTCTAGAAAGCAGATTTTGTTATGGGAACCTCTTCCCAGCTTCCTGGATGCTTTCTTGTGTGTATTTGGAGAGACACTGACCCAGATCCTGTGTAGCTCAGCCACACCCTCTTGGACAGGGCCTTTTACCCTGAGTGCACACTGAGACTTTTGACCCCTGTTGCTGGCACAGGCTATTACACAGCAATTCGCATCTGTACAAACATCAGGGGATTGACCTTTGACTGTGGCTGGTGAATGCAGCCCATGCTTCAGCTGTCTCTGCCATCTAAGTGTGTGAGGAGGTGTCTCCAGTAAGGGGTCACTGGCAAGGAGGTGACAGGCTGTGGACAGCAACACCACCTGCCCTATGATCCAGCAGGTCTGCTTCTGGGCAGATATCCAGAAGAACTAACAAAAGGGCTTTCTAGACATTTACCCCCCCAAAAGGTGCAGCATTATTTTCAGGAGCCAACAGGTAGGAACAGTATCTTAGTTTGCCTTCTGTTGCCGTGATAAAGCACTGACCAAAAGCAACTTGTGGAGAAAGGGTTTATTTCATCTTACAGCTCAATCTGTCATAAAGGAAGTCAGGGCAGGGGCCTGGAGGCAGAAGCTAAAGCAGAGGCTATGGCGGAATACTGCTTCCAAGCTGGCTCCCTAGGGCTTACTCAGCCTGCTTTCTCTCTCTTTTTAAAAATTTATTTTATGTGCATTGGTGTGAAGGTGTCAGATTCCCTAGAACTGGAGTTACAGACAGTTGTGAGCGGCCATGTGGGTGCTGGGAATTGAACCCCGATCCTCTAGAAGAGCAGCCAGTGCTCTAACCACTGAGCCATCTCTCCATCCCCTCAGCCTGCTTTCTTATGAAACCCAGGATCATCTGTCACAGTGGCCTTGGGCCCCTTCCACATCAATCATAAATTAAGAAAACACTCCCACAGACTTACCTCCAGACCAATATGATGGGAGCATTTTTCTCAGTTGAGGTTCCTTTTCAGATGACTCCAGATTATGTCAAGTTCACACACACACACATACACACACACACACACACACATACACACACACACACACACAAGCTAATTAGTGCATGCAGTCTTGTCCATGGCCGTGTAGGTGGGTTAGCATAATGTAGTATAATTCTATACTATTCTTGGCCACACAAATGAAACTTGGATGTGCACAATAATATAAATGGATTTTGAAAACACCTCATGAAGTAAAGCAGACATAGACGAATGATGGAGATGATTCCACCTATTTGGGGCACCTGAATTCAGAAACAGAAGGATATGGGGTCTGGTGGGGGTTTAATAGGTACAGTTTGTTGGGGATGATGAAAATGTTCTGGGCGTAGATGGTGGTGATGGTTTCCTGTGGAATGCCCCTGTGTCGTCCATTCATGGGTAATTAGAAGAATATGGTTTAGTTTTGTGTAATCAGTAGAAAGTGTGGCCAGTTCTTAGTGGCCCTTGACCAATCCCTGATAGATTCATGCTGCTCTGTTAAGTGTGAGATTAGATCCAGGAGAGATTGGGCCAGTGAAAAAGTTGGGTTTAAACAAAAGGTGAGGGTGGAGGTCCTTGGATAGTTAGCTAGCAGTTTTCCATCCAGACAAGGGATGTGATGTTGCCTGTAGGTATCCAGATAACTGCCAAGCTCTGTCCTCACAGTGACCCCAGGTGAAGAGGCGGGTGTGAACAGCATAGGACTGTAGGCTTTGGAAGGCCCAGTGTTTAATTATGTGACAGTGAACTTTGCACACGTGCGCATTTATCACTGCTTGTATACTGGCCAGTGGCTCTTGTCCTGCTCGGTGATAGCTGCATGCCCTCACACCTATGGACTTTTTCAGGGAACGCATGGAACTTCTGGAGGAAGCTAAGAAGATGGAGATGGCCAAATTCCGCTACATTCTGCCTGTGTACGGCATATGCCAGGAACCTGTTGGTTTGGTCATGGAGTACATGGAGACAGGCTCCCTGGAGAAGCTGCTAGCCTCTGAGCCACTGCCTTGGGATCTGCGCTTCCGCATCGTGCATGAGACAGCTGTGGGCATGAACTTCCTGCATTGTATGTCTCCACCACTGCTGCATCTAGACCTGAAGCCAGCAAACATCCTGCTGGATGCCCACTACCATGTCAAGGTAGGGACAGCATGTTTCCCAGGGAGTGGGCAGCCAGGACACTGGATGCTTTCGGGAGGGCTCTGTGTCTAAGACCTTGGTTATATTCTGAAATAGAGCCTAAGAAATGAAGTGATTGTCCCTGGAGCAGAAAACTTGAAGCCAGGGCCTTTTTCACTGTAAGACCTGCTAGAGAGACCAGCTAGTCACACTTGATCTGAATTTGATAGGTACCTGGAAGAGTGACCCTTGTAAACCCATGGGATTCTCCCCCATATCCTGGCATGTCCTAGGTTCTGAGCACCCTGAAGCAAACCAGGGACTTAGGGGTCCTAGGACTTATAGTCTTGTGAAATCAGAAGTTGGGCAGTGAATTAGAGAGACCTTGTGTCCTCTGATAAAGGAACCTGTTTATCCTCACTGCTCTGGGACTACAGATAGTGCTGGGGTCTGCTGTGTTCTAGACATAGAAGAGGACTCATTCACCACCTGTTTGTCCTCTGCTAGGAAGCTATGGGCATTCATATTGATGTGAGTAAGGGAGCAGGACCAAGGGCCCTGGATCAAACAATGTTCATACAAGGAGCAAACAGTGTCCCCAGCCTGTGTCACTGTGATATGTCTGACTGCATGATACTTCCAGATCTACTCTGCTGGCCTGACCTTTGGGAGGCTCGTCATATCATTCAGCTTGACTCAGCACACAGTGGCCCGAGTGGCATGTGTGAAGCTACTTGTAGCACTCAGACTCAGCCAGGCCAAGAAATTGATTTCTACTCTGGACAGTAGCTATGAGTTGTGGCTTAGGTAACATTACTCAGTCATGTCCTTTATATCCCGAAAAGTAAGACAGGATATCACACAACTTAGTGTGAGCCAGCTCCAAGGTGGCTTCCAGCATCTTCTTGTGATCTGAGTTTCCTGGCCTCTGTTTCCTTGTGTCTGGCAGGGATTGGCTTCCATTCTTTCTGGGCAGAACAAGACCTGTGGGCTCAGTGGGTCATAAGATTGTTACTCTCATATATGTAACCTATACCAGAAAAAGAAAACAATAATAACAAGCCCCTTACCCTGGGCTAAGGCCGAACCACAGAGCAGAGGTATAGTATTGGTGGCCACGGAGTGGTTAGATTACTCCAGCTGCAGGTCTGGAGCAGAGGTTGAAATGATAGCCTCCAGAGATCTTGACTTGTCCCACCACCATCCATTCATGACATGTTCAGGAAACCTGCTTACTGACATGCCACAGTCACAGAAGGCCAGCGTGATTTGTGAAGATTAGCAGGGTGTGCAGACAGCCCCTGGGTACCTGGGGCTGACCTTCACAGGAGGCAGGCTCTGCTTCTGTATGCAGCAGGGCATGCAAGTGCCAGGGAGGATAGCCTTTAGGTGGAAGAAAGAGCCCAGAAGTCATATAAAACTCTGGGCATTTGAAAAGAGGTAAGGAAAATAGCAGGCAGTAATAGATGGTGTATGAAGGCTCCTGTGTCTTTAAGAACTGCTGAATGGGAACTGGCTGACACCTAGAACTACCTAGGTGTAGCCCCAAGTGTCGCTCTACCTAGGGTCTCTGCAGAGTTCCTCAACTGCCCTTGGTCAGCCAATGCTTTTGTCTCATTCTCTTGCTTGTTGCCCTCTTCTCCTGACAGGCCTGTGGGTGTTTGGAAGAGCTGTGGCGCACTTCTTGGGGGGGGAGCACAGAACTGTCCTCTTCAAAGTGCCATCCTTGTCAGCCAAGAGTTGGGACAAGGACACAGCTCCCCAGCTCTGTCCCTTTGCTGAGAGGTGTAGTAAGGAGACACTTTACTTCTGGGTTGTCATCTGGATCAGTGAGGGTGCATGCTTGCACAGTGCCCCTCTGGGAGTACAAAGTGATGACCTGGTACCTGGTTTGTCACTGGTAGGTTGACTTTGTAGGTCTGAGTGCTGACTTCTCCAGGTGTTTTCTCAGTCCTGGGGACACAACAGGCACTGAATGCTTTTTCGTTGAGGAAGTAAAGGCTGCCCTTGACAAATTCTGGGCTATCATATTTCCTTTCAGGCCATGATCTCCTCAGCCTGATGGCAATTCCTACAGTTTCAGCTGGATAGCTGGGCTGGGAGCTGTGGAGTCATGATGAGAAGGTGTTCATTTTGTTTGTTTGGTTTTGGTTTTTTGAGACAGAATTTCTCTGTGTAATAGCCCTGTCTGTCCTGGAACTCGCTTTGTAGACCAAGCTGACCTCGAACTCACAGTGATCCACCTGCCTCTGCCTCCTGAGTGCTGGGATTAAAGTCATATGCCAACACGCCTGGCTGAGAAGGTGTTTCTTTAACATGAAGGGACATTGTCCCAAAGCTGGGATGCTGAGGCCACCCCCTAAACTGAGCCACCCTGAAAGGCTCTGCAAAAGCTGCTTTTGTGTGGTATCAGGCTGTTATTATCAGAGAAGTTAGTCACTGACAAAAAGCTGAAAACAAACAGAATTGTGCTTATACAACACAGTTTCTTTGTCTTGTAAAAACAACCTCCCCAGAGGAGCCTGTGGTGCTGAGGGTTCTGCACCTCCTGTGCAGATAGATTCCTTGGGTTTCTGGGCCATTTGCAGTTCAGACTTATGTTGGGATCCTAAGGCAGGGCCAAGAGCTGCTATTATGCCAGTCTCACGTCTCTGTTTGGGAAGGTATCGCTGCTCTGAGTATGAGTACTACTGATGCTTCCCAGCAGCCTGGGGTCATCAAGTGTATTAAAATATTTCCTATGTCACTCTTTATTAAGTAAACTAAATATCCAAATTAGAGGCAGATCCAGATATCCCCAGACTACTTATTCATGGTGTCCTGCAAGAAGGGTTTTTCCTGCTGGGTCCCAAGAAGCCTTTCTGAGGTAGCAAAAGGCCTTTGGTGGCTTGGTCTAGCTATTCTGAATTAGAAGGGCTATGTTCCTGTAAACTCTGAGATCTTGGGGATACTGAGTCAGGTGCCAATGTGAGAGTATCATGAGACCTCAGGTGTCCACTGTTGAAAGCTGGGTGAGGAGGCTACACATCCTGGGCAGGAGGGTGAGAGAGAAAGCCCCCTCCCCCTAACTCCCAGGTACCTCACCTCGGTGTGCCTGCAATGCCAAGCTTCCTACAGTGCTATTTTTCTCAAAGTGTATTTTATAGTAGCTAGCTGTGTCCAGTGTGCATGTGAAGGGACAGTGGCAGAGAGAAAAAGAATGGCCCCGTGCTGAGGTTCCCCAAATCTGTCTGCATTTCTGAATGCAAAACATTTCAGGCTGCTCTCCCTGAACTTTTTTGAGAGGTGAAATGATTGAGCATTGTCTCCCAGCTCCAAGCAGCATGAAGGATCTGCAGGACTTAGTGGTGACTTTGTCATAGTCACTGGCAGATTTTCCAGAGTTTTTGTTTCTCCTGAGGCCGTAGAGGCTTTCAGAACCAGCAGACCTAAGGGACCCTAGAGGACTGCTGAGCCTGAGCACCACTGGCTTAGAGTGCTAGCAGAGACAGGGCCAGGCCATCCCTGAAGGGTATCTTTCTATCAGCTCCCACTGGTCCTCGGGGTCTTTTAGTTACCACTCAGTCTTTCTGCTGTTGGACACTGATGACACCAGGCACATGGGCTTTCCCTTTACGGGTATGGCCAGTCTGGAAACAAGAGTCCTGACTCAGCCCATTTCCTGTTACTACCAGGGTGTGTTTGAAGACCAGCCCAGGAGTGAATTTAAAGGCTTAAAACCACATCAGCCTTGAAGGAGTCTAGAAAGGGGCCATTTCTATGTACACTGGAAGGCTGTTTGGTGCTGAATTGGGGCTTAAGTACACAGTGCTTCAAAGGGTCTGGTTTGCACCAGGAAGTGGTGACATGAGCAGAAAAGGGAGACTCCCAGAGATACCTGCCAAGTCTGCAGTAGTGGAGTGAGCTACTAGGATACCTTCACCAATGGGGGGCCTGCCTCCCTGTGAACTCTGGAAACAGAGATGGGGGTTCCTTACAGTGACATCATCACCAAGGGAGGGGTATCATATCTGGAGTAGACCAGTGAGCCCGAAGGTGATGAGGCATGTGTTTTGCTCCCTCTAAATCCCTCTGAAGGCGTGTTGTGCTTTAAAGGACCTGCTGGCACTTGTAGCTCCCCAGCTGGAAGGTTGCATAACCGGACTGACGATGGGTGATAGACACCCTAGCCCCAGCCTGTCACGTGGCTCCCTTTGCCTGAAAGCTGAAGGCTGCTTTTCCCTTAGTGCTGACTGTGACCATCAGCCACCAGGGCAGACAAGAAGTCTTACAAAAGTAGGGCTGGCTGTCATTCTTTTTGAGTTCTGTCTCCAAGATAATTCCATTCTTTTATTAAGCATGATGTCTTTCTTCCCCATCCATCAAGTTGATAGTGATGGTGCATCCAGGTTTGGCCCGTTTATATCCCTATGCTTCCTACCTGCCTGGAGACAGGGCTGCCTGGAGCTCAGCTCCTTTGTTTGGGGGTAAGCCCCTATAGCATGTGTTGGGGAACCACCATCTGTTATTGGCAGAGAGAGATATGCCGTAGCCTCTTCTGACTCCCTTTAAGCTGACAAGCCTCCTTTGGATTGCTTTTACAGATTTCCGACTTTGGGCTGGCCAAGTGCAATGGCATGTCCCACAATCATGACCTCAGCATGGATGGCCTATTTGGCACAATTGCCTACCTCCCTCCAGAGCGCATCCGTGAGAAGAGCCGGCTGTTTGACACCAAACATGATGTGTACAGGTGTGTGACATGCCACCATGCCCTCGTGCAGGCTGGGAGCTCTAAGCTTCACTGTGGCTTCCTGCCCTGGACAGCAGTTTCCAGAAAGGCTCTGAGGCACCATTCAGCCATGGAGTTTGGTCCACATGCAAATGGGGTGTGCCTGTTGGACTTGGGGATTTTAGCTGGTGCCTATATGCTCCCCAGGCACAGGAAAGACTTTTATTTCTTGTGGGTGGTGCTGGCTGAGGAAGAGGCTGTTCCTGGCTGGTGCTAGGCAGAAGCAGAAACAGCAGCTTCCAGCCCAGTGTTGTGAAACATTGCTTTTATTACTTAGCTGACAGAAGAACCTGCTGCTTTGAGTAGTCCATGGATCCATAGGTGTGTGGGTTTGGGCTCTTCAAAGCTCACACTCCTCTGAATCCCAAAGTGAGCATTCACACACATGGGTCGCTTGCCTCTGAAGGAGGGACATCAGCTCACATCCCAAGTCCCCAGTGTATAAACTGACAACATGATTGCTCCATGGTGTGGTTGAGAAGATTTTTATTATAGATATAAGAGAGAACGGCCCGAGGCATTTGGAAGATTCCAGAGCAGAGAGAGAAAATAGTAGACTGAACATGGCCAGCACACTGGACCTGGTCAGAAGAGAAGCAAGAGCAGAGCCGAGGGAGAGTGGGAGAGGAGAGCAAGAGAAAGGAAGACAAAGGAAATGCAGGCAAAAGAGGGGGAAGTTTAGGGCGGGTGAGAAGAGCTAGGATGCCAGCGGGGACTTTGAAATGTGTGGCAGGCACTTGTGATGCTGAAGGAGCCTGGAGGCTAGCATTGCCTTAGTATGCTAATAGGCACCACAATAGCCAGTGAGAAGGGAAATGGCTCCTTTTGGTAGAGGGGAACCAACTCCATAAGTTCCTGAGAAATGCTGACTTTTTTTAACCATCAGAATTTGGGGAGATGGAGTTTCCTTGGGACCTGACATCCAGGATCTGAGTACCTACCTCCTTTTCCTCCTCAGATTGTGAGGGCCCTATCTCAACCAGCTCTGTCTTTTGTCACCAGGCCCAGCTGACTGGTTTGACAGAAGCCAATGTGCCAATGTTGGGCTTTTGAGCAGTGAGTCCCACTGGGAATGGCCCTCTGGGGACTAGTCAGGGCTTGTAGAGTTTAGGGAGAGTTCAGTACTTTAAAGTTGGCTTTAACTTTATTTAAAACTGCATTTTCCAGTTGATGAGTTAGGCTCAATTTTCAGTCTTTAATTTTTTTTTATTTTTTTTAAAGATTGGGTTATTTCAGTGTACCTGGAATAATTTATTTATCTAAACATGTGTCCCCCAGTGGCTAAGAGAGGTTTCGGGCTCAGCTGGTTGCGTCTTACTACTTCTATACATTTTTTTAGCTACTTTCTGATGAAGCCTCTGAGGGCCTCTTAGAGCATTTTAGTCAGACCTTGGATTTAAAGGATTGAAGCCACAGCAGAGAAGAACAGGGGCAAAAGTGCCCATAGATTTCTGAGTACTTGGTCTGCGCCCCTTAAGATGGTGGCTCAGAGCTTGAGAACTCTACCAAACCCGAGGTTCCAGCACCAACTGACACCTAGTTTCTCTTCCAGTTTCGCCATTGTGATCTGGGGCATGCTCACACAGAAAAAGCCATTTGCAGGTAAGTGACCCTGCATGAAAACAATGGGCATGTCCTTGAACCTTCTCAGCCCTTCCATAGTGCCTCTGGTTTGTGCTTGGCTGGGCTGGGACTCCCAGGGCTTCAAAGCCACTTGGCAACCCTCGGGTAGATGCATTATACCCACCCTGCAAGTACATTGGAGGCCATAACCAGCTTACTGCATGTGGCTACAAAACACTCCTGCCCTGTCGTTTACATACAAGACAGATCAATGGTGGGACCGCCAGACTGTGCCTTGTTCTTTGATGTCATTTAGTGTTGTGCTAGTAAAAATCTACATAAGAAGTTATCAGTTTTAACATTTAAAGTGCATATTTCCTTGACATTCAATATATTTCCTTCTCAACAAACATCATCACTATATAGTTCTAGAACATTCTCATCACCCCAGAGGATCTCTGTCTCCATTAGCTGTTCCTGTGATCCAACAGTTAATTTCTTCCTCCCTCCCTCTGTCCCTCCCTCCATCCCTCCTTCTGTCCCTCCCTCCCTCCACCTCCCTTTTAAAAAACAAATGGTATAAAATATACATGACAGGATCTACGGTGTTAACTATTCTAAACACACTGAATAGCAGTAAAAGCGTTCATGTGTTTGGCCTCTCTCTAGAACTTATACCACATCAACTCAAGTTTATAAAACATGCGTTGCTTTTAGCTGCGTTGGTAAGAGAGGAGTCTCTTTTTTGTGTAACATTTCTGGATATTCACACTGTGGGGTGTGACCAAATATATTTGAAGATACAGATCATGCTCAGTATATAGGAGGCTCTGGGTTCAGTCTCCAGCACCAGACAGACAGATATCAGTAAGTGAGGACCCATTGCATGGAAAAAGGGAGGGTGGAGACAAGATCCTCCAAGCACAGCAGAATGTAGGGTATTCTTGTCCTCCATTGTTTGTACTTTTAAAAAATATGTTTTATGTGTGCATGTGTGTGCCTGAGTGATAAATGTGTGCAGCAGTCTGTGGAGGTCAGAGAGGACATTGAATCTCCTGGAGCTAGTGTTACAGGCAGTTGTAAGCTGCCATGTGGGTGCTGGGAACTGAACCAGGGTCATTTGAAAGAACAGCCAGTGTTCTTAACCATTGAGCCAACTCTCCATTCATTCCCAAGTACCCTCCACTGCTCTTTCTTCCGTGTTCCCCTCCTCGAGGTCCACTGAATTCTTTTGGGTGTAACAGCTTACAGATTGGGTGTGAAATTGTCTGATTGCAGTGAAGATCTAGGCACTCAGGTTTTATTGCCTCCTAGATAGGGGAATCAAGGTGCAGGACTTCCCAGAAGTCATGTAGGCTCCATCAGGCTGGCTCTGGCAGCAGAAAATCTTCTGGGTGTTCTCTTGACTTTCATTGCATTTGGAAAGCTTGCTGGCTTTGGAAGGTTGGATTATCATGGAAATAACCTGCAGATACTGAAGAGACAGGCATTGCACAAGACTTAACGGGGAAGTGAACAAAGCCTCAGTGTGGAACCCTGGCAGCTGATGGTGACTTTGGGCCAATTTTCCATACCTGCCAATAGGCTCCTGCTGCTCCACAGGGTGTGCTTGGAAAGCAGGGGTGGGGAAATGCCCGTGGGAACAAGTGGCTGATGGGCCACATGGTATAAGATGAACAGAAGGTCACCCACTGAGAGTTACCTTGAGTCCTTCCTGAGCAGGGTGGTAATAATAAATGACAGAATCTGTGCCCGTGAGACAAAGTTTTTAAACTTGGGAAAATAGAGAATGGTATGTCCTATAAGGATATGGGTTAAAGAAATCTCCAGGTTTGGAAAGGGAAATGGTAGTGTCCCAGGTGATATGCATGTCACAGCATGTCCCAAGCACTTGTCCATACATCTGAGTAAGGAGCTATCCCCTGCTCCTCACAGTCTTGACATGTGCTTCTCCTTTGCAGATGAAAAGAACATTCTGCACATCATGGTGAAAGTGGTGAAGGGCCACCGTCCAGAGCTGCCACCAATCTGCAGACCTCGGCCACGCGCCTGTGCCAACCTGATAGGGCTTATGCAGAGGTGCTGGCATGCAGACCCACAGATGCGGCCCACCTTCCAAGGTGAGTGCCCCTCCAGTGACACAGGCCATAGAGTTGATGACCTGTGGCTGAGAGCCAAGCTCAAGTGAGGAACAATGTGTGTAAAGACAGGGATGAAGCCCACCATTAACAGATTGGCCCGTCCCCTACTCTGGCTGCCTGATGCTGAGCAGTGTTAGAGTTTGCAGTTGTTAGAACTAGATGGTCAGAACCAATATCCACCTCTGCTCCCAGCAGGCTGCATTTGCTTCCAGGTAGATTGGAATCCTGGATTTCAAGTTCAGATACAGTGTGTATATTTAGACAGCTGGAGGTGGCTAGTGGCCTGCAACCTTTCTTTCACTTCTCTTAGGACAGATTACCTTTGGGATAAGAAAGTGACCCTGATAGAATTGCTTTTCAGTGAACCCAGGGAGACATGAGTGTGCTGGGGCTCACCTGCCAGTCCTGGTAGTTTTAATCTTTTGGGTCTGGTAGGTTTCTGAGGACCCATTTTGATCCTAATGAGACCTTACAGATGGCTGCCCACTCAGGATGGTGGGTGGGTTGTGTTCTAGGGATACCTGGGGCTTTTCCTACGAACCAGCAGTGGTACCAGACATGTCCTCCACTGGTTAGAGACTGGGGTATCACTGCTTCTATCCCCATAGAATTATGTAAGAGTCGTATCTAGGTGACAACTCTGTTTTCTCCCCCAAAGAAATTACCTCTGAAACTGAAGTCCTTTGTGAAAAACCTGATGAGGAGGTGAAAGACCTGGCTCATGAGCCGGGTGAGAAAAGTTCTCCAGAGCCTAAGAGTGAGGTAAGCATCTCTGGCAGACACCTTCAGGTTTCCAATTTGTGGTGGAACTTTCCAGTCCAACCTCTTTTCTGAAAATTCCTCCCCATTTCTCTCTGAGCCTGTCCTACACCTCCTTTCAGAAATGTAGGTCCCACCGGGGTCCCCCACCTGCCTAGCACATTGGAGATCATGGAAGGGCAGATGGTCACCCCACAAAGGTGGAAGATGGTATAGCTTGAGGATCTGAGCATAATCTATCTGCTCATAAATTGTTTATGTAACAAGTACCACATGGTTACTCAGACGTGGTGAGAAGTTCCAAAGGCCAGTGCTAGCTGAATGCCTCAGGGTAATTAATGATTAAAGCTAAGCCTGGAGGTTAAGGGAATTCTGTCATGAGAGTTGGGAGTGGTGGTGGTTTATCTGGCATTCACCCAGGGAGAGTAGCTACGGGACAGGTGAGAGCTGGGGACAGAGATGCCTCTGACAGCAGTAAAGGGGCAGAACCTACCTCTGATAGGCTGGTGGCCAGCAAGCAGACATGACTTAGTGTGCAGGGGACAAACATAGTAAGGCCAGTGGTTCCCAAAGGGAGGAGGGCTCAGAAAGAGTTGTGAGCAATTCTCAGACTTAGTCGCTGGAAATCTGCTTTTCTTGCAGCAGCCAGACCTGTAAAGCCCCTTGTTTCCCTCATTCACACAGCCCCAAGCCAGACTGACATACCTGAGATGTCTGAAGCTTGGTTAGAGCAGGGGAGACCCCCAGCCTGACTCTTCTTTCCTTTTTGTTGGGCTGTCTGTTATGGGTGGACCAGGTCCAGCCTTGCTTGTTCTGTACTCACGCAGCTTACCCAGGTAAGGCCTTTGGTCCTTACACATGGACGGTGCCCCTGAGTGGGAGGCAGCATTGTGCAGACTTTTCCGTTTTTCTGAAGGTGTTATTCTTACAATGTGCCAGGGAGGCCCATGAGGTTTCTTTGCAGCCCTGAGTTTCAGGACTTCTTGATACTGTCTGTCCATGGTAGTGAACAGCCATGGGACCTCCATCTCTGCTTTGTGGCCAATAGTTTCTTGTTCCCCTGTCTTGTTCTCTATTCTGACATGGAGGCTAGAAGAGCAGAGTCCTTACCACCACCCTCTCCACCTTTACAGGCCAGACCAGAGTCCTCACGCCTCAAGCGTGCCTCTGCTCCCCCCTTTGATAATGACTGCAGTCTTTCCGAGCTGCTATCACAGTTGGACTCTGGGATCTCCCAGACTCTTGAAGGCCCCGAGGAGCTCAGCCGAAGCTCCTCTGAGTGCAAGCTGCCATCGTCCAGCAGTGGCAAGAGGCTCTCTGGGGTGTCCTCAGTGGACTCAGCCTTCTCCTCCAGAGGATCGCTGTCACTGTCATTTGAGCGGGAACCTTCGACAGGTGGTGAGTGGCTATGAGCACTGGTAAACTTGCACAGGACTCTCTTGTGAGTTATGTTAGAGTCTGAGAAGTTCAGGTTTCTTGCTCTGATGATTCTTGTGTTCTTTCCGTTTTCTCTCATGAACTTTTGGCATCCTCAGCATAGTTGGTGCTCAGAGCACAGATCCAGAAATTCCCACATCAGTAGTGTGGTTCCATTGGGTATCATGTAGCTTTCAAGGAAGACAGGCCACATAACCTGGCTGAACCAGCCCTGGGACAGAGACTGGCCTAAGTCTGCAACTTGGAAAGCCCAAGACCCATCCAGTGAAACTAGTGACACTGGGGACTTTACTTGTGCCCCGTACTCAGACACTTCTAGATAACCCCTGTCCCAAGGTTTGGGTTTATGGGCACCCTCATAGCCTTGCATCAAGCTGGGCTGGCTATCCTGGGAGGTGCTGACACTCGGAATGCTGTGGCTTCTTTGTAAAGCACAGTCATTTCAGTCTAGGCTGTAGCGTGAGGGAGGCTGAGTTAGATAGCTGTGCCGAAGACTTGGGATCTTACCAGCCTTCAGGGATTTTTCCAGTAGAATGTTGGGTAAAAGAGCATTGAAAGTTAAGGAAATGCCTTGCAAAGATGGATAGAGAGGACTGGATCCAAGAAAACAGTCAAAAAGGATAGTCAGGACTAATTTCACAGCAGCCACAGAAATATCACTGTGTGCCATGGAGAAATATGTTCTAAAATCTTCTCTTCAGACAGAACCCTCTCTGGTGATGGCCTTGTCCTCATGCCTGAGAGATTAGCATCCTATGAGAATTTAGTGTTTAAGCCAGGCATGGTGGTGCATGTCTTTAATCCCAGCACTTTGGAAGATCTCTGTGAGTTTGAGACTCTACAAAGCAAGTTCCAGGACAGCTAGGACTACATAGAGAGACCCTGTCTCAAAGCAACAACAAAAGAATGCCATGTTTAAACACTGATTAGGGTCTATCTCCTTAGTACCATCCCCAACCCCACTGCTCTATAGAACAACCTGGAGAATGTTCCACTTGCAGAGGAAGAGTCTATTCATGGGAGTCAGGACTCTCAGTAATGGCAGTGGATTTTTAGGTTCAATAGAAAGTTCCATTTTGAATACTGAACAGTGTGTCCTGAGAAATCCAGTTTTGAGGATCATTCCAGAAACAACCCATATGATGTCCCCATGACATGGAGTGTAGCTTTGAATCCCCTTGAAGTTCCAGGAACCAGCTCTACAGGCCAGTGGAGCCCCAGGAAGAGTGTCTTGGAGTTTCTCTAAATCTCCAGGCAGATTGTGTTTCTGTCCAGCTTTCCTTTTTGGTGTACCTCTTTTGAAATGATTGTTGGCAATCCTGCTGTTGCTGAGGGAGGAGTATGGTCACTCACCTTTCCCAACCCTGGAAAAGCTAGAGCGGTTTTAGTCTGCAAATTGGCAGAGGAACACTGTCCAAGGTCTCCCTAGACTAGATCTGAAATAAGCATGCAAGAGTGGATGCTTAAAGCCTGCAAGTAAAGGATGTACCCTGAATGTCCTTGTTTAGAATCCCAGAAGATGTGTCCACCTAAGTCCCAGGCCTTAGAAGCCCACATCCTGCAGTAGTGGTCTCGCTCTGACCTCTGACATTGTACCCCCTCTTCCTGCAGATCTGGGCCCCACAGACATCCAGAAGAAGAAGCTAGTGGATGCTATCATGTCAGGGGACACCAGCAAGCTGATGAAGATCCTGCAGCCTCAGGATGTGGACCTGGTTCTAGACAGCAGTGCCAGCCTACTGCACCTGGCTGTGGAGGCAGGACAGGAGGAGTGCGTCAAGTGGCTGCTGCTTAACAACGCCAACCCCAACCTGACCAACAGGAAGGGCTCCACACCACTGCATATGGCTGTGGAGCGGAGGGGACGGGGAATCGTGGAGCTACTGCTGGCTCGGAAAATCAGCATCAATGCCAAGGATGAAGACCAGTGGACTGCCCTGCACTTTGCGGCCCAGAATGGGGATGAGGCCAGCATGAGACTGCTGCTGGAGAAGAATGCCTCAATCAATGAGGTGGACTTTGAGGGCCGAACACCTATGCATGTGGCCTGTCAGCACGGACAGGAGAACATTGTGCGTACCCTGCTACGCCGTGGCGTGGACGTGAGCCTGGAGGGAAAGGATGCCTGGTTGCCTCTGCACTATGCTGCCTGGCAGGGCCACCTGCCCATCGTCAAGCTGCTAGCCAAGCAGCCTGGGGTGAGTGTGAATGCCCAGACCTTAGACGGGAGGACACCTCTGCACCTGGCTGCTCAGAGGGGGCACTACCGTGTGGCTCGCATTCTTATTGACCTGTGCTCTGACATCAACATCTGCAATCTGCAGGCACAGACACCTCTGCATGTTGCTGCAGAGACTGGACACACTAGCACTGCTAGGCTGCTCTTGCATCGTGGTGCTGGCAAGGAGGCTTTGACCTCGGAGGGTTGTACTGCCCTGCACCTGGCAGCCCGGAATGGACACCTGGCCACTGTCAAGCTGCTGGTAGAGGAGAAGGCTGACGTGATGGCTCGGGGGCCCCTGAATCAGACAGCACTGCATCTGGCTGCTGCCAATGGGCACTCTGAGGTGGTAGAAGAGCTGGTCAGTGCTGACCTCATTGACCTGTCTGATGCACAGGGCCTCAGTGCACTGCACCTGGCTGCCCAGGGCAGGCATTCACAGACTGTGGAGACGCTGCTCAAACATGGAGCCCACATCAACTTGCAAAGTCTCAAGTTCCAAGGAGGCCAGAGCCCCACTGCCACACTGCTCCGACGCAGCAAGACCTAGCTTGCCACCTGCAGAACCAGGGCTCCATGTAGGCTTCTGGTCCATTCTTGTGTTCCTCATGGGAACAGAATGGTCCTGGGACACTGCTCACCCTGTTGGTGGCCTGCCCATACATTGACCAAGCAGAGGCTAATGAACAAGGCAATAATACCTGTGTCAGGGTAGAGGCTGCCACTGGCCACTGTGGCCGGTCATGGTGTCTGATGTCAGATGGGACTAGGTCGGTGTCATTTCATTGTGGTCTTGATTGGCTGCTGATGGCGGGTTGTTCATGGCAAAGCCTATATAAGGATAGCCCCTCTTTCCCAGAGCAAGCCACCTCTACTTGCTTGGAGCACAGCATCTTCGGTAGAGGCATGGAAGGGGTGGTGTCCTTCATCTTCTCACTGCGATGGGCAGAGCATCCTGTCTTTGGAGGTATAGTGGATTCTTATACATGAGTGACATGCTAGCTTTGCTTGAGACCTGTGAAGATAGAACTGGCACTGGCTGATGGAGTCTAGAAAGGGAAGATTATAAAACCACAAGGCTGGTCTTAACATTGAACAGCCTTACCAGCATTGAACTGCTGTTTCATTTGTTTTGTTGTTTGGGTTTTGTTTTGTTTTTTTTTGTTTTTTGTTTTTTTTTTTTTTGGTGATGTCTAGGTCACCATACCTCTTCCCCCACTTCCTTGACAGTTGCTGAATTCTCACTAAAATGTCAGCCACGTATGTAAAAGGTAGTGGAAAATTCTTTATAAATAGGTTTTATACTAAAAATTGTTTAATCAAACAAATCACTCTTTCAGGCTCTTATCTTTTGGTGAAGTGGTGATTTGTGCCAAGGGCTTTGCTGATGTGCCCTGTGACGACACCCACTGTGTTCCATCCACAGCAGCTGAATGTGGCCTGAGGTGGCCATTGGAGATAGTTGTACTCTGAGGGGTCAAAAGATTTGATAGCCTCGTTGTTATACCTTCCCCATTAGCATTCTGAACATTGTCACTGTAGATATGTGTTGCAGAAGTGCCTTGTGTGCAAACACATGCTGTAGCCTGGTGTGTGGCACAAAGAGTGACATTAATGTACTGTGTATTTTGACATGAATCATGGACAGGATACTTTTCTGTGACAGGAAGTCGTGGAGCTGGCTATGTTTTAATATGCCTCAATTTACCTTCACTGTCTTTTGCTCCTGTTGTGTGAAACACAGAAACCATAGGAGATCTATGTGATGTCAATAAAGGACTCATCTACTTTTGGAATTCACTAAGACTGTTTTTTTTTTTTTTTTTTTTTTTTTTATCACTAACCTCTAATTACCTGGTCCTTGAAAACCAGAGATCTGAGGCAGTAACAGGGTTTGGAGATGTTACATACTGAAACAACTCAGGGCCTGGGAAATGCAGGAAGCAGGGAATGGCCCGGGGCATCTTTCTGTCTTGCGTATGCCAGATCTGGTGGGGAGGAGCTCCCACCACCAATGTTTGCATTTTTTAATTATTATTCTCATGTTAACTTTACATCTGATATAATTTCAGGTTACATTGATTATGATAACTTCACATTGACTCTGGGTTTCTCTTTCAGTTACATTTGACCGTATCTTCCTGACCATCCTTTTTTTCACTCGCTACCTTTCCACCCAACTGTCCATCAACCCACCATCCACCACTATACCTAACCTTCCAACCACCCACTTGCCTACCCCACTGTCTATCCTCCCTCCCCACCTACCCTCCCTCCACCTGTCTGCCTTCCTCTCTGACTGTCTACACTTCATCTACTCACCTCAGAATAGTTTGCAGACAATATGCCTGGTTACTTCCCAGTCCTTCAGTGTGTATTTTCCCAAAACCAAGGACTTTAATTTCCTAACAGCCATCAGAATCAGAAAGTTAACATTGGCACGATACTGTCAAGTCTGTAAGTCCTTTTTTGGTGACCTCAGGCAGCAGAAGTAGCTCTTGCTAACCTTGGAGATCCTGGATGCCATCTAATTCCTTGCATTTAGTTGTCACATCCCCAGTTCGGTATGCATTTCCAAGCTTCTCTTGTCTTGCACAACCTTTTTATTTTGTGATACATGTAGCACTATAGGTTTATCTGATTCTACTGATGGCTTAGGTCTGCCCGTTTTAACCAGCACACAACAGACTCAATACTGTGTTCCCATCTCCCTGTTTAAATTTCACTGGTATTGGTGCACAGTTACAGATTACTGTATAGCCAGTGGGTCAGACTCCATTATTCCTTAATGCTCAGTGATCCCCAGGTTGGCCAGCTTGAGGGCCTCCATGCATATTGGCCTCATGAGGACTTACTGCTTTGACTGACTGAGGCAGTATAGGTTTGCCATATGTTCAGCCATCCTTCCAGGAGCAGCCTTTTTTTTTTTTTCCAAGAAAATTCTTGGCAGAGAATATTGTTGGAAACCCTGATCTAAGTGCTGTTTCCACTGTTCACTGGAGTGTCCCCATTGCTATACCCTCAGCAGAGAGGTCAGGAAGAGTGTTTTGTGGATTTCTGTATCTTTCTAGACTAAGGCCTTTACCAACAGTCCATCCACCAATAGTTCCAGCTCTCCTGATTACTAGAGCTTTTGTATTGATCCTCACTGATCAGTTCAGTGGAGAACCTTTCCTGCCTCAGCCCACTGTACTCAGCCTGATGCACCCAGCCTGCCCAGCAGCCCAGAGCCTTTACCTTGCAGAACGATAATTATAAGTCTTATTCAGGCATGAGAGCCAATGAACTTGTCTTACCAACACCACCATTTGGCTTAACACCCCACCCTTCCTCTGGGGCACCTACACAGTTCTTCTATCTTTAGGTTGGAATAATACAGCTGGGTGCTCACACTCATCCTGCTTCTCCTCCTTGTTCCCTCTGGCCCTGGCCCTTTGCTCTGGAGCAGTTTCCTGGTCTAAGGATTACTAAGCTCTGTTCTTAGACCTTCTGCTTCAGAAGTGCCCCTGGTGTCTCAGAGCTCTGAGTTGCCCTGGGCAGTGTCCCTCAGATCTCCAGCCAGGCAAAGGGCTTCTGCCTCAGTGAACAATCCTTTCTTGAGACAATATGATGGAGAGTGATGGAGGAAAACACCTGATGGCCTCCTCTGGCTTCTGCATATGTTCACACATGTGCTCACGGGCAAGCACTACACAGATCACATGTAATGAACATATATACAACATACTATATACGCAACATACTAAACACACACATACATAACATACCACACATACATATATATCACACATATACTCTTCACCACACATACATACCGCATACACCCCACAACACACCGTATACACCATGTATACATGCATCACTCAAAATACCCCACACACAAACAGACCAATAAATATAGACTACATACCACATTTACACCATATATACACATAATGACACCAGCCACTGAATTCTGCTTGACGGGGTAACATGGGGGCTGGCCTGAACAAGGTTGTTGTGATGAACAAACCTCACGCTCTGAGTGACCACTGCAGTTGGTTCTGGAAGTGAAAAATTCTGGAGCTTGCTGGGTAGCTGTCCTGGGCCATCATGAAGGCAGAAAGCTGTGAGTTGTTCCCTGGTCAACGGCAACTGTTGCAGTAAAAATATCTGCACTGAATCAAGGAAGCTCAAACAAAAGCCCCTCTGATGCTGGGTTAAGGAGGAAGGAGGGAGAGAAGGTTGCAGGTGGGTATTATTTTCTCTGCTCATTGTCACAAGTTTATGTGTAATGGAAGGTATAAACCCATTGCTGGGTTAGCTCTTCAGAAAGATCCCCACAGTGGGAGCTGACCCTGAGTGTAGGACTCTGGGTGAAGGGAAAAGAGCCCCCCTCCCTCAGGTTTTACATTGTAATATCTGATGATGTTGCCTTTTGGAACAGAGCCTGGAGGTTTCAGCAAGCCTTGTCCTCTGTGGCAACCCAGAAAAGTGAGGTCTCTTCATGATCTCCTTCCATAACTCCAGCTCCTCTTCCTCCTGGAGTCACTGCCAGGAACAGCTGGGCCACTGGAAAAACAAGGCTCAGTGAGGTGGCAGGAGAGGCTGCAGGTGTGGCTGGTGTGACAGGTGTGGCTGGTGGGAAGTGGCCCTTGGGGAAAAGGACAGTGAGCCTCCTCCATAGGCTGCAGGGTGAGCTGTCACTCATCACACTTCCTTTTTTTCCACCTTCCCTGGAGACTATAAGAGGACCCTTGCCTTCTCTTCCCTGAGAGGGACAAGCAAGGACCCCATCTTTGCTTCAAGGAAAGGACAAATTAGGCAGGAAATGGAGATGGGGTGGTGCTGGGGCCATTAATGATGGAAGGTGGTCATGTTCCGGCTATACATCCATGCACAGCATCTCTGTGAGTTTGGGGACCCAGCCAGGTACGGATGAGGATTTGCTGAAGAGCCAGCTTGAGCTGGTCTTCCTAAAAAGATGGAGAAGGTGGGTGGAGGAGTGACAGGTAATAGAAGCTGACTGTGAGAAGGGAGACTGGAAGGAGAAAGAGGGCTCTATCTAGGGAAGATTGAAGATGTCTTCACTGATGGTAGAAGGAGGCTTCACAGTGTCATGATTTCTTTTCCATTTGCTATGACAAAGTACCCAGACAAAAATAATTTATGGGAGAAAGGATTTATTTTAGTCCATAATTGTAGGGTATGATGCATCATTGCAGGAAAGTCAAAGCAGGAACTTGAAACAGCTAGTCATGTCACATCCACAATCAAGAGCAGAGAGAAATGTATGAATGCATGTATAGCAGTGCTCAGTTAGTTCACTTCCTCGCTCTTTTTTTTTTTTTTTTTTTTTTTTGTGCAGTTAAGGACAAAACCCAGTGAATAGTGTGACAACCCGCTTTTAGGCCGGATATCCCCAGATGAAGTGATGTAATCAGGACAGTTTCCCACAAACATGATCAAAGGTCAACCTGATCTAGACAATCCCTCAGCGAGACTGTTCCCAGGTGATTCTAGATTGCGTCAGTTTGACAGTTAAAGCGAAAGCTAGCCATCACAGCTGGTATCTAGTGTCTGTCTCCCTTTAACTAGTAAATGACCAGGAAGGGGTGTGTGATTGGATAAGCCACATGGTCTCTCTCTGGAGGTGCTTTTCAACCTGCAGGGGCAACATCTGGAGGCTCCCTATGAACCTGCCATGGGCCTGGTGCAGACCATGTGTGAGTCAGGTGGAGGCTGAGGCTCTGGGAATTGTTTGCTCCTTGTACACAGAAAATTCATAGCAGTTACAATGAGGCTATCTCTGCTGACTCTAGCACTCTCCATGTCCAATCAAGAAGGCACCAGACACAGGGCAATAATCAGAGTGGGACAAGAAATCTGTTTGAAGTTCTCCACCAGGGACAGTTTGACCCTTGGAGCTTCTCCCCTGCCTCTCCATCAGTAGACAGGAAGAGTTTGGATCACGTGTGTCTGGACCTCAGGACCCCAGGCAACCTGGAAGGCTGTTGGGAGAGAGCTGGGATAAAGAAGACTCAAGTGCAGCCTCTCCCACCACATGTGTCCTGTCTCTCCTTTCTCTCAGCACTAAAAAGACCTTTGGTCCTAACGTTCAGATCTATCATCCTACAGTGACACTTAATCATTGGTAAGCCCCACTCATGCACATGGAGCTTCAAATACCTGCCACTAACTCACTGTGCAAAATGAACTGAGCCCTCTAGACAGAATGTCCCACCTCATAGGACAAACCCACAGCTTTCCCAGTCAAGCCAAGAAGCAGATTTTAAAAATTAGAAGAAACAGGATGACAGCAAGATGCCCTTGCTGGTAAAGATTTCTGCTGCCAAGACTGATGACCTGAGTTCAATTCTTGGGAACCACATGGAGAAGGCAAGAATTGACTTCTACAAATTGCTCTCTGACCTCTAATAGCACACCATGGCATGAAGGCACACATGTATGTGCTTCCAGACACACGAATAAATAGATGGAATAAAAACAAACCAGCCAGGTGGTGGCATGATGGCAAATACCTTTAATCTCAGCACTCAGGAGGCAGAGGCAGGCAGGTCTCTGTGAGTTTGAGGCCAGCCTGGTCTACAGAGTGAGTTTTGGGACAACTAGGGATACACAGGAAGCCTGTCTCAGGGGAAAAAAACCTAAAGAAAACAAAGTGTGAATCAGAAGAAAACTTTCAAGTCTACAGTTATCTCAGGTTTTAAATAGATGAAGACCAACACAGAGCGTGTAGAAACAGAGGGAAGAAATTGAAAAAAAATCTAATGAGAGATATGGAATCCTCCAAAGAAGAA